GTTTATATTCAGTGTACGGTCGTGGAGATATGTCTGAACAAAGCGCAGTGCAACTGTGGTGTGATCGTGAAATGTTTACATTCGCTGTGCATTAAACGCGATATTGCTTTGTTATACATAGTCCTAAGTCCATTTTGCAGTTTGTATGCATCTAAAATCCTGCGTAAATCTAGGTCACGGTGAGCAGAGTCACGTTCCCTTCATATACATATGAAAAAAAGCAGAGGAGGGCGGTTCTATTGAAATACGTAATTGAAATTGTTCTGAAGAAATGTTTTTCAAGACTAAGATATGGTCTAGTTCATAAATCACTGTGTAGGAAAGAGCAGGTAACGATGTATGTTAATGACCAATATCTGACTAACAGGATCGTAGGATGTTATCACATACAGAATCTGACAGTTGTTCAATACACTGTACAGCTATACCGGTATGAATTACCAGGAAGTGAATAAATGAAGCATGAGGCACCCGTGAAGAGCCACCTCCTCGTGGTGCGTGCTGGGTAACGCTAAGAGCCTTTCAACCCCCGTGTGGACTCATTCAGGAAAGGAAACATACATCTGACGCATATGCAGACTCTTTATCAAATTTAACCCGTGAAGGTCCGGGTTAGAATATTGATCTTCAGTAACCCATGCTTGTTGTAAGAGGCGACTAACTGGATCGCGTGGTCAGGCTCGCTGACTTGGTTGACGGATGTCATCGGTTCCCAATTGCGCAGATCGATGCCCATGCTGTTGATCACTGGATTGTATGGTCCAGGCTCGATTATTTTCAGACCGCCGCCATATAGCTGTAATATTGCTGAGTGTGGCGTAAAACTAAACTCACTCACTCACTTTATCAAATTTAACTAAAATTCTAGCTATGCTCAAACCTGTTTGGCGGTCGGTTCCATAATATCCTGGGAGACATCCCCTAGAACAGCGACCAGTGGGCTTGTCACATACATCAGCACTGCTAAGGCACCTGCACTCTTTGTCACAATCTTCAGAAAACCACTCATCACTGCAAACTGATAATTGGTTGACATTTTCAGATAAAGTCACCATATACATAATGTAGAACTGTATGTAATGCATTTATAACCTAACACTTTGATAAAACATATTCGCCAACTCAAACATGAATACACATTTTCTTTCAAAAAGTTGTTAAATGTAACATAACATATGTTATATTTAAGATTAAAATTTCTAAACAAAGTACACATTTTAGTGTTGTTGTGTGTTGAGTCCCATCCGTTATTCCAACCCACATTCTCAGCGCAGGACACAGACGAACAACCATGACACCATGTATGGCCTACAAAGACGATTCAGTACGTTCAAATATTACCATTTGTGTGAAAATTTGGATAACACCAAGTCAATCTGTTAATGGCGTACACGAACGAATGCACGGTCAATACGCTTACCATTGATATATACATAGTAATGTGGATTAGAAACAAACAGGCACCGTGAGACGTGGACTCCAGTTTTGCTATTGTATCATGGGCCTGTGGTATACTCTACTGAATGAATACAGTTGATGGATAGATACATTTTTCATTGTTGTTGAAAAGATGAACAATTCAATAAAGAAAACCTCACTGGGCATTGAATTTAAGTAATAACAGGATTATACTTAATGTTAAGAGTCCTAATAGATCGGTGCAAAATGTTTAGTTCACTGCTGCAATACCCGTTCTAATTGAATATGTTTCAACAGCCCGATAGATAAAACATGTAATTTCTCCACCAGCGCCATCAGATGCGGGTTGCTGGTCTGAGGTCAGAATGTCAAGTCACAAGAATAAAAATGCGAAATTTCTCAGTTCAATTTCGTGTATGGCCGCCCCGCCCATTCACCACTGCCAAACAACGTCTCCTCATCGACTGCCTGATGCTTGTGAACACGTGGTTGGGGATTCTGCGCCATTGCTCTTGCAAGGCAGCGTCAAGTTCCTGCAAATTCTGAGGTTGGTTCCTAAGACCACGAAGCCTTCTCTCAAGTGCATCCCAAACGTGACGTGATCTATTGGACTAAGGTCAGGGGACCTCGATTGCCAGTCCATGACGTTGATTCCAGCGTTTTGAAGGAGATTTCGTGTCAACATCGCGGTATGCGGCCGAACATTATCATGCTGGAACTGTAGACCTGGGCCATGAGCCGCCATGAAAGGCACGAGTTCAGGGGTCGACTGCACATGCAAAACCTGATTTGGCACTAACGTAATTTGCAAGACGTATGGATGGGTTTGAGTGGGTTTTGCTAACGTTTTTCTAGAGTCGAAAGATAGGGATCCAATTTCGGATACATAGATGTATCATCAGAGAAAAATTACCCATTATTTTTCAAATACATTTTGTGAAGTTTCTTTTTTGACTCAGTATACAACGGGTAAGAGCTAAACTATGTCCCTGCGCTACTCACCTCTCGTCAACAACCCACAGTCGCCTGTCTGAACACCAGTACATATCCAGGCTACCAGGAAGTTGTTTAAATGAAACACGTATGGGAAACATTATAGTCTCGTCCTGTCGTGCTTTGTGCAAACATAGCCTGGTTTACTTGCTACCAGGCGACATAGTCTACATACATTTGCTATACAAATGAAAATGAAATGTAAGCTCATGTGCACAACCATGCTGTATATTCATTTAAATGGATGTGAGGGAGACCCCAGACGCTCTAAATCCGCGTTATGGAAAAAACAGCGTGTTGTTCATTTGGATACATATATGTTACAAATTAAAACAATATCATTTGGAAAGAGCAAACCATGAGATGACAGAACATATAATTTACTACAATATGACGAAGGCTTATTATTTGTGATGCGCTGAAAAATATTTGGCAGTCATGAAAAAAGGTGTCAGTGAGATATGAACATACCAGCATGCCGCGGTTTTGATCTTACAAAGCACCTCTCAGTGGTATATTTGACACGTATACAATAACGCATTTACATAGGGCAAGTTCGACACATATGAAACTATAGGTGCTTGAGGCTCATTATTGGTAATATGTTTGACATTCATGAAAAAAGATGTCAGTGAAATATGTACATACTGACATGTGTAAACGTTAGATATCTATGAAACGATATTAACATTATTCCTAGTATATACAATTTTGAGGTGATGCATTTCAGTGCAGGAATGTTGTTAAAGTAACATAGTTTTGTGCAATTTGCTAACACTTTGCCACAACAAACAACACTAAGAACAGACTTCACCCATTCTGTGAATCAAACTTACATCTTCCTGGTAAAAAAGAAACGCTTCAAAAGTGATTGATTTTTTAATGTTTCAAACAATGTCTGAATACTATATTAAATAAGTATGTTTGGTATTTAATATGGTTCAAGTAACATAGCTTTGTACAACTTTCAACCTAATATCGAGGAACAGGAGACTTCACATGATGTACCCCTTCAAAGTTACATATTCGGGTGGATAAGCAAACGTTTCAACAGGAAACAGTTATTCAGGGAGAAATATTTCAAATAATATTTACAAAAGGTCATACACTGTACAATAACGAGCTATATTCAAAGGTGCTGAGTTCAATAAGCAATACTTTTGGTGTTTTGGTTAAGCTTTACTATGTCGCACCTAAATGAAAATGATGGCGAGATATTTGCAGCGTCAGGAATGTCAAAGTCACATGGTTGCAGTTTTTGGGATGATATCAACTGAAGAACTGCATCAGAAACTGGCCCCACATGTGCTGCTAACCTGTGACAACCGCTGGACAAGACATCGATTCAGCACCTCTCACAGTCCGTACTATCCCTCGCAACGGAGGCGTATCTGCAAGGATAGTCCGAGAATGTCTACGCTTCTACTGCGTTCATGCAAGGTTCCCAACAAGACCGCCAATGGTGATGGCAACTTCTCAGTTTCAATATCGATGTCGCCAGAGTTGCGGACTACACTAGCGGTGGACAGTGGACCCAATTAACTAAAAAGTCACATTTCCTTCACCAGACCGGGTACGTAAGTCCCAAAACATTCAAATTTCAACTTTTCGTTTTTTAATTGTAGAATATGTGTAATTTTAATGTATGGCTAGATATATCTTAATTGCTAACAACTGAGGGGATGATGTAAATCCAGCTAGGGCCCATGCAGGAAGCAAATGTACTGTAAGTCCCCATGGTCCCTAGTATGGTGATCTATCTTCAGTTGTTAGCGATCTATAGCCAATATTTATATTGTGTTGTCCCCTATAGTTTAACTGTTTAAGATTCTATTACTAGTTTTACATATCTATCTGTGATACTCTAGTTGCTTTACTGTCTTTTGTCGGCAGGTTTTATAATCACTATACATATTCTATTTCAATGTCAAGTGTTCTCGTCACGATATGGCTGAAATATTGCCGATGTGACGTTAAATAATAACTCACTCACTCACTCACTTCACCAGACCGATGGCAAGACGTGTTAACAAGCGTTGAGGTAACAATACGTCGGATGCAATAACTGTTGAAAGGAGGACTCAAATCATTGTATTTGATAAAAGATACAGGCTGACTAACCATATTCACAATCGTGATATTGCAGATATTTCACGCCAGAGCACGACTTGCTTGAGTTGTACACTAATAGTGAGTGAGTGAGTTGAGCTTTACGCCGCAGTCAGCAATATTCCAGCTATATGGCGGCGGTCTGTAGATAATCGAGTCTGGACCAGACAATCGAGTGATCAGCAGCATGAGCATCGATCTACACGGTGCGATACAATGACATGTGTCAACCAAGTCAGCGAATCTGACCACCCGATCCCGTTAGTCGCCTCTTACGACAAGCATGGGTTACTGAAGGTTGATTCTAACCTGGACCTTCACGGGTCTATACTCTAAAAGTGACCTAAAGTGAGAAACTACGCTTGTCTACACTCAGAACAATTTACTTTGCACAAGACTACTCTATATCAATGTACATTAAGACACGACGCTTTATGCAACAATTCAGTTTAAATTCGGCCCTGGGGGACTTCCACTGCATTAACATAAGGATTGGAATTGTCAGTGTATTCATATGTGTTCTCCACAACTGGATCCCTGGTTCTCTCGTCTAGGGATATGTAGTTGTCTTCGGGTTTCTTTTGTGAGGCATCCAGTTGAATCTTCAGTCTGCAATGTTTTAATCCTTACAATTATGATGTAGACATTATATCATTCTCCGTAAGAAATGAATTCCAATGTATAATCTCTGGTCAAATTGGCACAAAATGTCATTCCCCGTAGTGAATATCAATGTATATAGTTTATACCTTATCATCCCCGTACCTTCTAATGTAAATGATGGATGTCAACAGAGCGATGAGAGCCAAGATGAGAAGTGTACCAAGTGTTGCTGCAACTGGCACTACTTGGTTTGAGTATCCTGGCGTTGCCGGGCACTCTGTACAACCTTTCAAAACATAAATAAGGGGTTCATATCAGCTGCCTTGATGTCTTACCAAGTTACCCTCAAGAGATATATAAAGAGAAAGCAGGACAGTGGACAGGGTAGAAAAATTACAACTTCCGTCACATTCAAAATTGCATCCCACCTTTACAAAAGGGTTCTTGAAACCCTGGCCGACATCCTTGTTGACATGTTCCATTGACCTTGTTACAAGGCAGGTTTCCTTTACATTGGCCACACTCAGACTAACAGCGGTGTCCATGACGACCGTCACTGCAAGCTGTAAAGTATTATTAACCATTAACGACAAGACAAAGCGTTTAAGACATATTAACAGGAACAAGTGAAGATTTAATACCAACCTTGTGAACAGAAATCTGGCCACCATCCAGACTGACATCTTCCTCCAGGACATGCCCCCGTCACCTTGTCACAGACGTCAGTGTCCAGACAGTGACCACACGGACACGCACAATTGGCACCATAACGTCCATCTGGGCATGCTGTTACATAAACACGTCCCAGTGAACAATAATAAGCCTCGGTGATGCAGTTGAAATGTGTCTGTTGTGTGAACAGGATGCATACAACACCAAATGTCAAGGACATTTGGGGCATATTGTCCATTACTCGTGACATGTTTGCTCAAGTTCCTATGTATATATACGTTGATTTGATGATTGCTGAAAGCTTGTTCATGCTAACCAGGAATTTCCTATGGTGATACACGATAAAGTCAAATCTGAACGAGAGGTATCCAAACTTCAGAGCTCTCCAATTGTTTACACCTTGGTTGTACCGACGTAGTTTGATATTTTCTCCCCGTCACCACAGACGTAAGAGTACATTTGGAATATGTTTGCTAATGTTCCTGTTGAATAGTCACACATAAGACATAAAAAAATACCATAGTGTTGTTACCGCTATCAATAACTGCAGCTGACTTACGCTGATTACACTTTTCGTTGAACCATCCTGGTGCACATCCTCCAGGGCATGTTCCATTTGTCTTGATGCAAACATCACCATCCACACAGTTGCCACACTGGACGCCACAGTTAGGACCATAGTAACCATCTGGACATGCTGTGTACGCATATAAATGTTTCATGATGTCAATATTGTTTGCATTTAACGTCCTCTATTTCCAGGGTGGCAAAGGGACCGAGCAATGTGAAAGAGAAATTTGTTGACCACATGCAGATTACAACAGTATAGTAATTAACAAACGTACACATAATTTTATCGTTAGCTCAATAGTTGGCCATTAATGATTAAGTGACTTAAGTTTGTCGCCAATGGTTTCATCGATGTATGTCTGAGTGACTACAGCATTAAAATGCGTTTTAACTACCACTGAACTGATCGTGCCTCTTGTGTCCCTTGACCACATGTTTTATATTATACTGTTATCCAGCTATATGGCGGCAGTCTGTAAATAATCGAGTCTGGACCAGACAATCCAGTGATCAAAATTATGAGCATCTATCTGCGCAATTGGGGACCGATGACAAGTGTCAAACAAGCCACCGAGCCTGACCACCCGATCCCGTTAGTCGCCTCTTACGACCAGCTTGGGTTACTGAAAGTTCATTCTAACCCGGACCTTCACGGGTCGGCCATTAATGAAACCGAAACACAAACAAATCATATTTAATCAGATCACAGTTTTAATCGTGGAATATATGTTCCTTTAATTCATGGCTAATTTTGTCAAAATTGCCGACAGCTGAATGTATGATGTTAATGTAGTTGTGTTACTGTACCTTCGTGACCGGTTTAAAAAATACATGTAATTGTGGTAATGCGTAATTTGATCTCGTCACGAAATATCTGAAATATTGCCTGTGTGAAGCTAAATATTAATTCACTCATTCACAACTCCTTCAATATTCAAGCACCATTTGCCTCGTAGCTGTACCACATTTGAACACGGGTAGCATTCTCTTGTACATCCCACTCAGAATATTCCTGTGAACTTATTCCACAAATGATTATGAAAACAGTTTCCACACTTTGACGCACGGTTCATACCATAGCGTCTCTTCTGACAAGCTGCTCACATTAAGTCTAGAATGTTCACTTTGCTAAGATACAAGGAAAATATTCCGTTGTCCACAGCAATTATCTGTCTATCCTAATAAAGATTTACACATACCTTTTACTTCTCCTGGTTACATAAATAACCAAAAGTTACTTTAGGCATGGACAGCTGAAGTCATATTAAAGAAGCAGTTAAGGAAACAAAATGTAACATTCTGAACAACTGTGTCAAATGTATAATAACTTTCAACATGAAATGTATAACAGAAGGGATGACTTTCATTTTCTAATAGTTGATTTTATTGTGCGAAACAATTTCCAAAGGCTTCCTGAAGATTTGATATCAGCGGCAATTGCCGTTATGAAGAGACAAAATCGGAATTCTTGCAATATGCGACATAAATAAATCAACATGGCATTGGCAGGTTTAGATAGCGTGTAGTACAAATAAACATATAACTCAATGAGTGCATCAAAGTCGTGTCGCTATTTGAGTGTAACAGAGTCGATGTGAGGTTGATCATAAGTCAGATCCAAACTTGACTAAGGATGCTTTATGTCTAGGGGGAAAAGACTTCCCTCGGTTTTGGTAGAGAATGTAAAACCGAGGGAGGAGGAAATAGCCCGAGGGATTTCCCTCCTCCCTCGGTTTTACATTCTCTACCAAAACCGAGGGGATGTGTTTTCCCTAACATATAAACCGTCAATGATGGATAATTACAATATAGATGATCATTTAATGAAGCTACATAACAATAACTGGAGCGCAAGTAAAATCAATTTAAAGACAGTAACTATAAATAGATAATTCAACCAAAACGGCTTCGGCGGCTAGGTGGCCGTGAGGTAGAGTGTCCGCTTATTAATCTGAAAGAAGCGGTTTTAATCCTGTTAGCAAAACCATTTGCACTTTGAAATTGATCTTGAACGATATTTTTCAGTTGATTTCAACCACTCATATATCATTTGAATGTTGATGTTCATACAGAGTTAGGAAAAAGTAAGACCAGGGAAGAGGTCTTACTTACAAAAAGTAAAACCTGAGAGCAAAGAAAAACCTCACACGCGGTTATTCCGGGAAAAGAAGAGATGCTTAATATATAGTGAGAAGCACACTTCAGGTTTATATTTATGGTTCAACCCGCAAATCGTATCTTAGAGAGCTCCATACCATTCATAATCAAGGTATCAGAATGTGTCTGGGGGCATTCAGAACTTCCCCAGTCGAGAGTATGAATGTTGAAGCAAACGAACCATGTTTAAAGTTAAGGAGAATGAAACTCGCACTTCAATATACTGCTAAACTTCACTCAAATCCATCTAACCCAGGTTTAAACTGTGCATTGAATCCTTCCTACAAGGATTTAAATGATAATTAATCAAACTCAACCCCACCTCTTGGTATACCTATACAGTCCCATATCAGGGATGCTCATTTAAATCTTGAGAACATATCAACATTTAACATTCCAGAAATACCGCCTTGGTAGTCCATTCAGCCGGATGTTAATTTAGACATGGCGAGACTGAAGAAAGCTGTTACAAATACCTTATTGTACCCACAAGCATTCTTAGAAATTAAAGATAAATACTCCTCTTACCAAAGCCTTTACACGGATAAGGTATCAGCAGCCGCTGATGAAGACACCCTTTCCCTCAGATTAACTAATGGAAGTTCTGTTTTTACTGCTGAATCTATTGTAGTTATATTAGCAGTGATCTTGTCGCATATTTCTGTGTTTAGTGAACAGTGACACTGTTTTTCACAGTCCTCACCAAACCAGCCGTCACTGCAAACTGAAAATGAACATGAAATGAATACATAACTCACGTTCATTAATGATGAACAAAACTGTGGAAACAGTTCATTCCAGTCTACCGGGTAAAACAAACAGCACAATGAGGAAAAATAACTGCAAACCTATCTGTAGTTGATTAGGCAGCTTGTGACCTAACTGAATTACTTTTTATAACAACGTTAGAATAAATTAAAATGTTCAGCTAACAGGTGTATGTTTACCTACCAAATATCTGCACCTCGCAGAATGTGAGATAATTGCTGTTCTCTATATTGAGGTTGTTTCCTGTCAGTTCTTGTTGACATTTGACATCAGCTACAGTTGGCGGATGATTATTCCTTGATCACTGGAAACAAAGCTGTCCACCAACAGATATCTTCATACCATTGTTTCGGGCTTTGTCTGCATTTTAAAGGGAAAATCTGCTGTAAAGGTTAAATCGAAGACGAACAATTGGAACTTGATTTAGATGATAATGATGACCAAACATACATACACTGACAACAGTTCCGCACTTCAAGAACTATACATCAAATATGCATTCTATTTTGTTAAGAAATTACAAAAATAAAAAAGATAAAAATAACATATTATATTTTGCTACTCACACTTGCTACGTAGATACAGCTTGACGTGTTGTATCTTGTCTGTGTTTGAATTGTTCAGGTATACAGTCCAAGTTCGGTCTCCAGCTAATGTATGTGTACATGTGAATGGTCTATTTTAGAAGTATGTGGTAGCTCTACCATCCACGCCGTACTTAGCCTCGAAAACCTGATGTGAATTCCCTGTTCTGGTGCTGTTTTCACTGTAGGTACTGCTCTGTGTGGCACTTCTTCTCAATGCAATATTCTCTGAGGAACGGAAAATCACGTTTACCACCTAACACGTAACACAGCAGTCGAAATGATGACATTAGATTGATTGTGATAACATTTTGACTGTATGTGCTACTCTGGCGGACCTCTTCCTAATTCCATATTCTCCGAGGAACGGAAAATCACGTTTATCACTTTACTCATAACACAGCAGTCAAAGTGATGACATTAGATTGATTGTGATAACAGTTTCCTTGTACGGATGATATTACATGCAGTGCCATCTACTTAGTGCAGTGTTGTTGAGAAAGGAACAGCACAGGTTCCCCGACACCTACCTCTTCTAGACAACAGTGCCTGTGTCACAGAGAATTTCTATTTTCTCCAAGTTGAGTGCATAATAGTACGTAAGTTCCAAAACTATCAAAGTAAAATATATATTTACCCCATTTTAAACGTAGTATTTTTGGTATTTTGACTGTTGGCTAAATTTTCCAACAATCGCCAGCGGCTGAAGAGATGGTGTAAATCCAAAGAAGGTAGCAAAAGTAGTGTAAGTCCCCGAGGGTCCTAGTATGGCGATCTACCTTCAGTTTTTCGCGATCTATAGCCCGTGTTTTATACTGTATTGTCTTATACTAGAATGTTTTATCTTTGCTCGCTAGTTTTATATTCATATCTGTGATTCTGTAGTATTTTTACTGTCCATCGTCAACAGGTTTGAATCTTCAAAATGTTTTTACTTTTTATTGTATAAATTGTTTTCGTCACGGTATGGCTGATATATTACCGATGTGACGTTAAATATCAGTGAGTGAGTTAACATTTAACGTCACATGAGCAATATCTCAGGCATATCGAGTTAAATATCAACTCACTCACTCACTGAGTGCATAATGGACAAGGATAAACGAAATGTCATTATCTGGATTCTGACAGTTTTGTAGTTGAGGCCCCGGTGTATTGCAGACATGGGACGATATAAAATATATCAACTACCAAAAGGATTTGATGATTGGCGCTTCTGTACGTTGGTCTCAAACCATCATCAGAGGTGACTTGCCTTTGACAGAGAAGGTAACACTGATGTCTGTGCTAACGTTCCCTATTCCGGTATTCTAACTCAGGACCTCATGCATTATACCGAAAAGTTTCTGCTAAATATACAGTTCGTTAAGTCGACCACAAATACCATCAATACCCGAGAAATAAGTCCATAGTATTAGTCAAACCTTCTACAATGTGCAAATCATATCTACATCTAAAACATCTTCTATTCGTGGATAAGCTTGGCTATACATATGTGATACCATATATCAAAGTAATCTATGATGTCCGTGAATAAGAAATTGCCGTATGAAAACCGATTGAGAATCAAGATGGTGATCTGTACCGATACTCGGACTGCCCTGAGAGGGGAAGGCACACAATAGGCACTGTACCGTGACGAGGCTTGATTTACAACTCGATAACAGACACCATTCCAGAGGTCATGGAGCGTACTTTTTATCTTCCCATAATATGATTCAAAATTGACCTATCGTGCTCATTATCTTTGCTTTGCTTTTTTTCTAAATTGTGAAAGCAATTACAAGAGATTGTCACGACACTTCAAATGTATTTCTTTATCTTGTGAATAGCCGCTTTGTCCAATATTCTAAGAGTAATAGGCTGCAGCAGCTGGATTCTGTAGAGATGATACCTACATTTGGGGTGTGGTACAATGGTGATTACAAAGTATATATGTTGTCAAGAAATATCTATATTTTTTGTAAATTTGATCTTGCCGAAAGTAGGTTATAATGACATCAGTGCATAGTTTACATAGCACTGTTTTGAATCTATCTGAGGGTAATATACTTTCTTTCTTTTTTTGGTGTTGTTGTTGTTGTTCAACGAAGCACTATGCATTATTGAATTAAAATGATGGTTTGTAAATAATCGACTTTGAAAAATACAATCCAGTGAATAACATGAGCGTCTATCTTCTCAGTTCGGATACCATGACATGTGTCAACCAAGTCAGCGAGCCTGACCACCCTCTTATGACAAACATTGGTTGCCGCAGCACAATTCTAACCTGGATCAGCACGGTTGAGGGTAATATAGGACACACCGCGGGGCTTCGTCATACTAAGATGAGTTTTTGTATCTAGGAACACTTCAAAGAGACATCAATCAATGTTCAATGCAGAAAACACTTTAGAACATGCTTTCGACTGTGATTTCTGAAACCTAATCCGTACCTAGTCAATTTGCAAAATGCAAACGCCCAACACTCACGTATTTGGCAGTAGGAACCGAACCAACCTTCCTGACATCTGTCTGGATCGTCGACCTGGCTACAGGGAGTAAAGGTGGACACGGCACAGGCAGCTGCAGTAGTGCAGTGACATCCGGCATCTAAAAGTAGTTTGAAAGTGAACATGATGTGGGTTTTTTTTGACAATGCAGGTATATTTGCTTGTACATATCGCATTTTGCAGAGGTATGTTCATTTAGATGACATTATGAAAAAAGTCGAAAAGTACCATATGCAATATAGTAGTATATACAATGGGGGTTTTGGACCAGTTCCAACAAAAGCCTCTGCAAAGGCTTATTTGGGAAATAAGGCTTTGGTCGGACCCTTAGCTCTTGCTACCATTACCCCTACTATAAAAAAGTTTGGGACGCTAGTGGGATACGAACGCCCAATGTTATACCTCACAACCGCACCACTTAACTGACTGAGCTACCAGGGGCATGGTTGAAGAATGTTGATTTAACAGGTCTATCCTGAGATTGCGTCATCGCTCCACGTGCCGCTATGCCGTGTTGACTGGAGGTAACACTGTGCCGTACGGTACGATCAATAATTCCACTCTTACAAACCCTCTACCTGGCCCATCCCTCAAGTAGTACAAGTTAGGCTCGTCGGCTTTCATGTCCACTTTATCTATGTTGTAAGTTTTGACTGACCATATAGGATCGGTGGCTCGCTTACTGCTATCACCCTCGTGTTCCCCCGGCTGGTATAGATACCTCACTAGGGCCCTATATGGTATCTGTTTTTCCTTCCCACGCATTGGAGCAGCCGAGTGTGCCACTATTGGTTTTAGTTTGATAGCGTCTGCCGGTTTCTTGCCGGTGAGACGGGTGGCTTCATGGTTGATTGCCGACACCACCTTGGGTAACCTCACGACCCATTCAGTCGATCGTTTTCCCGGGGTTGCCATCTCCCTCGCATACTGATGGGCGAATAAGCGCTCAGCCAAAGTCCTATTAAATCTCTCAACTATGGCTTGGCTGCGATTAGCCCCGGCAGCGCCACGCCTGACCTTTGTATCGTGTTTGTCTAACAGGTGTGACACGACACCCATGAACTCCCACCCGGGGCAAAATTGCAGCTCTGTTGGCAACATCAGCGGACTGCGTTTGTATATGCGTTCGAATCCTCTGGCTACCTGGGCAGAATCTTCCGCGGTCAAGGGTTCGGCTTCCTTGTAGCGACTGGCCACGTCCACTACGGTTAAGGCATACTTGTACCTCTGTCGTGGGGTAGGAACAGTAGGTCTGCCTGGTGAACGCTATTAGGTATGTTAATACCGAACCTCCTTCTAGGCACGTAGCGTGGTGCCGGTAAATAGATCTGCCACAGGGCTTGTTTTTCAAGCCACGCTTTGGCCTCCTCCGGGGGTACTCGCGTCATTTTAGCCAGCTTATCTACAGCCCTAGCTCCTTTCCAGTACCCACGTGGGCTATAGTAAATAGCCTCAAACTTTCTCTGGTTCCCTGACATGTCGTCCCGACAGGGTATTTATTTATATCTATGTTCTTGGTTCAATTTTCTCATGCCCGTACGCATACGTGTTTATCCAACGTTTAGTGTCCATCGACGACAGGGACGTCTTGTTTATAGTAAGTCCGTATATCCTATGCCCATCACTTCTAAGTGTGTTCATTTTATGTCTGAAGGTACGGGTCTTGAACAGGGCTTCCTTGAATCTGGCATGTTTGATGTGTTGTTTAACCACATACTTCTTAACACCCTTAGCCTTCCGGATTCCACTATTGTCGGCTTTCAGTATGGAGTACATCTTAGGCCTCAAACCTATGTACTCGGCTATGGGCGTGCCAGCACACTCGTCCTTCATCTTACCTAGGACCTTTATATTTACCGTGCTGTGTAATGCATGGTCCTTGGGGTAGTCACTGGTGTCGTACAAATCGAGGCGTTATTTCATGTCCTCGTACACGTCCTCGGTTCGAATCTCCATCAACAGGGAATCCGTATCAGTGTACAGCACTTCACACCTGTCGTCGTACTGTTTCTTAAGCTTGTTGTAGTAAAAGTCGTACGTCAGGTGTTTGGATAAATCGAGGATGCTCATCCCCACGTAAACAGGCCGGTTGAATTTTATGTGGCTTTTCTTCATGTGTAGGGCAACTAGGTCATCGGTGAATATCTTGCTACGGTTAAATGCCGGACTGGCTATCAGTCTCCTGAGCTTGTCTTCCTCATTCGACCGAACCAGCTTCACGGTCACGCATTTCCTAAGGTTCTCCATAGTCTTACCAAACACCGAGTTGTTCATGAGCTTATGGAGATTTTTCTCAAAGTCACTGGTGGCAAGCTTTCGGAGGTCTGTGTTCATTCTGATGTAGGGCTCCATCCATGGGCTCTGGTTGAACATGAGCACCCTGAGTATTTTGGTCAGCCTCATACCCAACGACAGGTACAGCTGTAGGTTGCGATAGTGAACGATGTACTTGGTCTTATTCATTAAGTTGGGCACGAGGTTTTCAATGTCTACCACCCGCCCACCTAACAAGTTATGTTGGTACTCAGACATCCAGTCTGGGTTAACCCTCATACGTTCGGGGGCTAGGGGGTAGCTGTTGTGTGATGTGTGTAATGCCTTGGGGTATTCCAAGTCAACCTCGAGGATGTAACCTTTGTTCGTATATGGTGTGATGCTCATAACATCGACCTCGGACGATACCCATTCGAATCCCCCTGTCGGTAGATACTGGCTCATGGCCAGGCGTACAGGTTGTTTGCGTCGAGGTAGACAATGTGATTGGTTGGCTTGCTCAGGTCGTAGCCCTTCACGTATTGATTATTTGCTGTCGCGTATCGCTTGGTTGCAATGGAGATCCCGCCTCGCAAGCCTTTCTCAATGAATAGGTGCATATCATAATCTGTAAGCAATTCCAACTTAACTCCGGTCTTTTCAAGCAAGGCATCCCATGACAGACCTGGGCTGGTGTAATACCATGCGGGGTCGAGTTTATACTGCTTGAAACATGTCCGCCTAAACGTCTCAAACACGTCGGCTAACAGCAGTACATCTGTCCTCAAGTACAGGTCGTGATAGCCACCCAGAATCTTACAACTCAGTTTATTCCATACATTTATAGCGTGCGAGTAATCGTCTTGGGATATTGCCGAGTCTGTCAGATTGCTGTAAAATTCTCTGATTGGGGGTAGTCTGGTCTCGGCGAACTTGACCCAACTATCCATGTACTCATAGGGGTACACACCCTTCCTCATAAGCAGGGGTCTAGTCTCGGCTTCTGTGTATCAATCGGTAATAGGGAAGGTATCATTGGCCTTGACCAGACTGTCGAGTGACTACAGGAGGAATTGAACTGAGTCGATGAACTTAAGGCCGTTGAAGGAGATGTATCTCTCCATGTTGTTGGGGATGCACGTTATATTACCATCGATTTTCGCGATGGCCTGCATGATCAAGTGTGAGTCATACCCTCTCAAGTTGTGAAAGACAACGGGAATGTTTATTGTCTTAGGGATGATTCTAAGCTTGAGGTTACATAGGCTGTGAGCGGCGCCTCTATACTTACCGGCTATGTGGCAGTGATCTCTCACCGAATCACCGTTAGTGCTACAGGCGTGAGCTAATCTGTCGGCTCGGGTCATACGCATGGGAGCGACTGTATACAGTGCATTCCTAATAGTTTTTTCTTCCTCCTGCAAACACTTTAGAAACCTTTCAGCCGCGTCGGGACCCCTATACACTACCAGAGCTTTCGTTTCCCCATCACAACGGACGACCACGTATCCAAACCCACAAGCCTCATGCTCCTGTGTTTTGTGTGTGAAGCTCTCACCTGTGGGTAGAGCATTGGGAGTATCCCCAACAGCCTCAACGACTCGTATAGCCGTCTGCCCCACACCTTGGCAATCCTCCTGGTGGGATTCTAATAAATCAGCTCGTGTGAAGCCATGTAGGCACCGTTTGCAGAAGTGGGTCTTTTCTCTGTGTGCCGATTGGTCATACAACAGCCTGCTAAAGTGTTTTATCCATGTGTACTGGTACTTTTCACCTCGCCGGATCATGAATATATTGATAACGCGAGGGGGGTTCCCCCCCTGTCCCCCCTGTTGGGGCCCCCCCAACGGACTGACCCTGTGTAATATTGTTGTGTTACCTTCGTGCACAAAGACATTTATAGCTAGATTATTCTGTTTTTCTATTTTAGTTATCTTGGATATGGGGGTGGGTTCATCTATACCATCCCAGTTGAGCCCATCGTCCTGGGGATAGCTAGAAAGCCTGTCTGAATGAGTGTCAGCTGGAAACAAGGCTGACCTGATAGCTACCTCAGGCAATCGTCTCCTCTATTCTTGACGTTGACCATGGCATGTTTTTTCCTATAGTAGGGGGTAAGTCTAGGTATGACCGGCCTCTGAATGGCACATAGTTAGCTATGTCTAGATAGATATTATCGATTTTATCTACAGTCCACCCAGACCCCAAGTGTGTGTAGCGTTCTAGGTATTCTCATATCTGCTGAAAACTGGTATCGATTGATGCGTCGATGGTCTCTATATGGGTCACGACTTCTTGTTTACCTCGGAAGTAAGGCTGAACATACTCATCGACCCCAGTGGGGGTTCCCCCCACTCTCACTTGCTTATCGAGCAACATTTTAACTGTGATCTGGAATTTGATACTTCCTAGACTGTTTAGTTCCTGGTTGACCGTATCAGCTATCAGAGGCTTGATATCTGCGATATCTATGTTCCTATCAACATGCATGCGCCAGCCTCTCAAATAGTTGCCTACAGTGCGCTCAGTGCGCACGAACTGTAGGTCAATAGCTCTATTCTGCCGTAATAGTTCTACAAGCTGTGGTTTCCTCATACGGGAAAAACCCACCTAAACCCAAATCGCAAACCTCGGCTTTTAATTGTTTTACAGTGGGAGGTTGCGCTACGGGGGCATGTGATAACAATGCGATTAACCCGGCTCTCCCCAGGTTTGAATAACCCTTGAGCCCAAGCTGTTTTGCTTGAGCTTTTAATTGTTTTACCGTAGGAGGGGCTTCTAAACCTAGTAATCTCAACAAGGCTGGCTTCCTCATTCGAGAATACCCGATTACACTCCTCTGCCTGGCGATCCGCTTAAGTTCACTAACAGTAGTCATAGTTGCGTACACACCTATGAAGATCAATCTCTAATTGGACCACAGTAAAGGGCGGTAACTCCTCCAACCTTGATAAAAAATAAAGTGAGGCGCTCATAAAATCACTAGATGGGCCGTTTCGACCCAGTACTCACATCGTTGGACATAGTATTCCTTGAAGTTGTGCATGTATTCCTGTATACTTGTAAAACAATTTATCTGGTATTGAGTCGTGATGTCCCCCTCACATGTGAAGGGGCGAGTACACTTAACACCCTCCTTAATCCATGCCACTCCCAATGTGACCTGAAATCTGAAGTGCCCCCAGTCGTTCAGTTCCCCTTCGAATATGTTTTTGACCAGAGATTCGATCTTAAGTTCCACAGACATAGTTATACCTAGATGTGCACAGTGTCTAATTGGGTCACTACACTGCTACTCTGAGAAGTCGCCTACGTTCTTTTATGTAGGCCTTTTTATTCTCGAAGATGAGATAATGTCTGACTACGTTCGCCCCGTGAGCTTTACATAGGCAGTAGTGCCCTTTAACCCCTATACCACACACAGAACACGTGTAGTTAGGACTTCCCATGTGGAAACAACAGTACCCCTGAGTCCTGCATCTCCTATCACAGGCTTCTTTCTTTCCCATAAGTATGTATTCGCATCGGTATGGAGCAGGTCTCATGTTTAGCATACTTATATGAGTATTTACTCTAATTGTTTCGCAACCAACGCAGTCGCTGCTATACCCAGCGCGAAAAATACCAGTTCACGGTCCATTTGCCCCTTGGATGGCGTGTAGTACTGAGCGATTGTGGGTTTATTGAGTGGTTGCAACCGTTTACCAGTTAGTAAGTAGTATTCGCTCGCTGCGTCGTCGACATTGTGGAATGTTTGAACGGCATGGTTTTCACGCCTGAGCTGTTCGTTAATGTAATCGATCCTCTGGAGGCGTTTTTTAGCGTACTCGGCCTGTGTCTATAATTTTTCAATAGCAAGGTTATGTCGCTTCCTTTCTGCCTGTATTTCAGCCGCGTGTGACTCTCGTAGTTTCGAGAAGAGGAAATTACTCCCGGAAAATACCAGGGCATTTACCAACGCACCACCGACCATCATGGCAATCGTAGCCATCCTATATTTACTTCATAATATTTTCAGGTAGTATCCCTTGTTTTACTAGGATGTCTTTTGTAGCCATCGCCATACCAAGGTTCATTATAAGCATACCCATATCCTGCAGGTTGAAATCTAGCTTGATAGTTGGTTGTTTAAGCACCATTTTAGTCAACCGAGCTTACCCTACGGCTAGACTGGCGACCACTGTGGCGTGGTATGCGTCGTTGACGAACGTTTTCCCCCTCAGACATTATGTATATGATATAAAAATATTAAATTATAACATGATATGTGGGTCGACCTCTAATTGTGGGGAATCCCTGGGATTCCTGTGAGGGTTTCTCTCCCCAGAATCCCTGGGATTCCTGTGTCGTGTATATAACCACGAGATAACCACGGCAGCAGTTACGCCTACAGCCAACAAGAGTCGGGTCGGGTGAGTCACCGTGATAATTTTATGTTGGTTACACCACCGTTTTCTACCGGCAGCCACTCTCTTAAGATTCTTCTGCCTGGTTAATGTCACCTCCAGTTGGGGTTTCCCCCGTCTCCTCTGAAGGGGACTGGGGTGGGGTCTCCTGTGCAGCATCCATCTATACTATTGTTATTATTTTTCCTCTCAAATTGACAATGCTTTGCCGTGATAATCGCCGCTGTCACCGAGGCTAACAACATACCATATTTGTGGTACAGCTCTCAGCTAATAGAGCTCAAGGCGTGTTCGATAAAAGCGTCTTTCTCGAGGTCTTCCCACAAGTGAAGTCAGCGCT